ATATGACCTCAATGTTCATTGCAGAATTATTTACAATAGTAAAGATATGGAAATGATTGAAGTGTCCATCAATAGATGAATGGATTAAAAAAACCAAAACAACTGTAGTGTATATATACAATGAAATATACTTCAGGCCTAAAAAAGAATGTAATCTTTCTATAAGTGACAACATGAATGGACCTGGAGGGCATTATGCTAAGTGAAGTAAGTTAGAGAAAGACAAATAGCATATGATCTTTCTTATAGATGGAATCTAAAAATAAATAAATAAAACCAAGCCATAGACACAGAGAAGAGATTGGTAGTTGCTAGAAGAAGGGCATAGGGAGTTAGAGAAATGGGTGAAAATTTATTTGTTTTTGTTTTTAGAATGAATCAATTGAATTTTAAATTTTCATATCTATAGAAGAATTAATCCCCAAAAGACTCACATTTACATACAGGTTTAAAATATTTTATAATGTTTTTAATGAGATAAAATTCATATAACAAAAAATTCATTTTTAACCATTTTACAGTATACAAGTAATTGGTTTTTAGTGTATTCACAATGTTGTACACCACTATCTAATGTCAGAAAATGTCTATCACTGCAGAGACACCACATACCTCCCAATTCCCTTCTTCCTCTATCCCTTGGCAGCCACTAAACTACTTTCTGTCTCTATTGATATGCCTGTTCTGGACATTTCATCTGAATAAAATCATACAATATATGGCCCTTTGTGTTTGGCTTCTTACCCTTAGCATAATGTTTTCAAAGTTTATCCATGTTGTAACATGCATGATTACTTAATTTTGGTTTATGAATGAATAATATTACATTGCATAGTACATTAGTTACTTATCCTGCTATAACAATATACCACAGACTGGATGGCTTAAATAACAGAAATTTATTTTCTTACAGTTCTGAAGGTTAGAAGTTCAAGATCAAGGTGCTATCTGGCACGTAGGCAGCTGTGTCCTTGAATTACCACTTTTCTGTGAATGCACAGAAAGGGAGCTCTGGTCTCTTCCTCTTCTTATAAGGATGCCAGCTCTATAGGATTAGAGCCCCATGCTTATGACTTTATTTAGCCTTAATTACCTTCCTAAAAGCCCCACCTCCAAACAGTCTCACTGGGGGTTAGGGCTTCAACATATAAATTTTGAGGAGGACAATTCAGTCCATAATACATGTATATACCAAATTTTGTTTCTCCATTCATAGCTGATGAACATTTGCACCGATTCTACTTTTTGACCATTATGAAAATGCTGCTGTGAACGATCATACACATGCTTTTTTGTAGGAAGGTTTCAGTTCTCTTGGTTATATACCTTTGAGTGGAATTGCTGGTCATATGGTAATCTTATGTTTAAGCTTTTGAGGAACTACCAAACAGTTTACATGGTGGCCACACCATTCTACCTTACCCCAGCAATGTATGAGGGTTCACATCCTCACCAATACTTGTTATTGTCTTTTTCTTTTTTAACAGAGCCATCCTAGTGGGTAGAAGTAGCATTTCATTGTGATTTTGGTTTCGGTTTGTATTTCCCTAATGAATAAGGATGTTGAACATTTTTTAATATGCTTAATGGCCATGTGTGTATCTTCTTTGGAGAAATACCTATTGAAGTTGTTTGCCCATTTTTAAATTGAGTTGTGTGTCCCTTTGTTGTTGAATTGTACTTTACATATTATGGATGCTAGATTCTTAACAGGTGTATGATTTGCGTGTATATTCTCCCACTCTGTAGGCTGTCTTTTCACTTTCTTGATAATATCCTTTGATACATACATTTATTTTTAGGATAAAATCCAGTTTATTGATTTTTTTGTTGCTTGTGGTCTTTGTGTCATATCTAAGAATCCATTGCCAAATCCAAGCTCATTAAGATTTACTCAAGTTTTCTTCTAAGAGTTTTTTAGTTTTAGTTCTTAAATATATGCTTGTTATTCATTTTCAGTTGATACTTTGTATGTAGTGTGAAAAAAGGGTCCAAATTCATTCTTTCTCATGTGGTTATCCAGTTTTAGCACCATTCGTTCAAGAGACTATTCTTATCCCATTGAATGGTCTTGGCACCCTTGTTGAAAATCAATTGGCTGTAGATGTGAGGATTTATTTCTAGACTCTTGATGCTATCATGTTGATCTATATATCGATTCTTATGCCAGTACTACATTGTTTTGGCTAATGTACCTTTGCACTAAGTTTTAAAATCGGGAAGTGTGAAGCCTTATACTTCTTATACTTTGTTCTTTTTTAATATTATTTTGGACATTCACTCAAATCTATTTGGGAAGTATTGCCATCTTAACAATATTAAGTCTTCTAATCCATAAAACACAGGAAGACTTCCAATTCCTTAGGTTTCTTCTATTTTCTTACTATAATGTCTTGTAGTTTTCAGTGTAAAAGTCTTACAGTTCTCTGGTTAAGTTTATTTCTAAGTATTTTATTCTATTTATTATAAGTGAACTGTTTTCTTAGTTTCATTTTTGGTTGTTCATTGATAGAATAATTTTGAGAAGTATGATAGAGAAAGCATAAACTGCCTTGAACAGACTTAGTAGAAATCTGTATTTGGAGAATGCTATAGGGGAGGGTTCAGAAGGAAATGAGGAACATGTTATTAAAAACTGGAAGAAAGGAGGTGTTTGTTATTTAGTGGAAGAAAGTTTAGTGCAATGGTCTCCTATGATCATGTGGAAGGCAGAAGTTTAAGTGATGATTCTGGTGGTATAGCTAAGGAGATTTCTAATCTAAGTGTTGAAAGGGAGGCCTGATTTTTTTCCTGCTACTTATACAATAAAACAGGAGATGAGAAAGAGAAACTAATGGAAAAAATATTGAAAAAACATTAAATATAAAGAAACCAGGACTTGACAATTTTGAAAAATTTGTATATCTAGATGGCAAAAAAGTTTAAATGAAAGGCTGTCAGACCTTCAAAACTCTACTAACTGGAAGCAGTCTAATAAAACTACTTAGCTGCACATATGTGCTACCTTTTATGAAAAAGGAAGGGTGACTCAGAGGGCAAAACGAAGAGCCCAGAGGTTGGAACAAAGAGCTATTTCTAGGACTAGAACTCCCAATATTTTCCCAACTGGACTTCAGAATTACTATGAACCTTTTTTTTTTTTAACCTTCCATTCTTTTTTTTTTTTTAATGTTTATTTATTTTGAGAAAGAGAGAGAGAGAGAGAAAGAGAGACTGTGAGTGGGGTAGGGAGGGAGAAAAAGGGAGAATCCCAAGCAGGCTCTGCACTGTCAGCACAGAGCCCGACACTGGGCTCGATATTATGAACCCACAAGATCATGCCCTGAGCCAAAATCAAGAGTCAGACACTTAAATGACTGAGCCATCAAGGTGCCCCTTACCTTTCATTTCTGCCCACCCCCCTTATCTGGAATGTCTGTTATCCTTTCCCTGGTCTACTATTGTATGACAGGTGTGTTGGGGTAAAGTAACTTTTCTCTAGGAAAGAAATGGTAGGTTGGATTATATAGTTAGATGTTTATATACATGTGTATATAGCCTTTAGTTTCACAGATCTATAGATGGAAGGGAATTGGGCCCCAGTAACTTTACTTAATGTATTACATCCAGGAACTTTATTCATACCAGGACCTGATTTAGATGATAATATTTTAAACTTCTGAGCTGATGCTATAAAAAGAGGAGTCTCTTGGAAGCCTTGGGAATTGAATGTATTTTGCATGTGGGAGCACAGGAATCATTAGGAGCAAGTGGAAGAATTGTAATGGGCAAACTCTAAGGTGGCCCCTCTTACCTTGGTGTTCATATCTTTGTGGCATCTCCCTTTGAGTGTGACTTGCTTCAGACCAACATAAGATGGTAAAAGTGATGAGATGTCACTTCCATGAATATGTTATATAAGCTCTGTTTCACTAGCTGACTAGCTCTCAGCCTTTCTTGCTGGCTTTGAAGAAGAAAGCTGCTGTGATTCCTAAGGCTGCAAAAAACTCAATACTTCTAAGAACACACAGAAGGGGAAGTGGATCCTTTCCTAGGTGAGCCTCTACATGAGAGCCTAGTTGTGGCTAACACCTTGGTCACAGCTTTGTGAGATCCTAAGTAGAGGACTAGCCTGGTCTTCTGACCCACAAATCTGTGAGATAAAAAATGTATGTTGTTTGAAACTGATAAGTTATAATTTTTTGTGCAGTACAGAAAAACAAACAGTTCTCAAAAAACTAAATATACATTTAACCATATAATCAAACCATTCCACTTCTAGAAATTTACCTAAGAGAAAGGAAATGTAGGTGCAAAAAATTCTGGTACAGTAATGTGCATAATAGCTTTGCATATTATAGTCCCAAACTGAAAAGAACCCAAATGTCCATGAACAGGTAAATGGATAAACAAACTGTGGAAAGTAGAACATTTCTTAGGAATAAATTGCTGACACACACACTTACAGGGATGAATCTCAAAGCGGTCGTGCTGAATGAAGGAAGCTGACAAAAAGGAAATACCATGATTCCATTTATATGAAACTCTACAAAATAAAAACTAAACTATAGTGACAAAGCACATTTGTTGTCACTTGGTAGGTCAGGCAGGAGCAAAAGGGAGGAATTACAAAGGTCACGAATGTTTGGGGTTGATTGCTATGTTCATTATACGGACTGTGGTTTCATCTATGTATACATAGGTCAATTGACCAATTTACACTTTAAATATGAATAGTTTATTGTATATCAGTTATTCTTAAGTAAGGCAGTTTTAAAAAGGTATTTGCACACTTTTTTTTCCCACAAGTAATTATATTCAAGTAAAACACAGTATAGTCATCATAGAACAGCCTTGTTACTCATCCACTCATTCTCAAATATTGTCTAAATATGTGTCTGTGAAAAATACAAGTATGAATCTTTTGCAGTAATGAAACATATAATCTGAAAGACTAGTCAGTTAGAGTTCGGAAATCATAAATACTTATTTTTTTATATTGTTTTCGCAAAGATCCTTACCAGAAGCAAATCCCTCCCAATGACTGCGTGTTAACTGCTCCATACAGCTCAGAACCTTGCTCCACACGTCGTCAAACACATAAGCAAGGACGTCCTCTTTCATGCAGGAAAATGGAGCAATGGGAGGGTACCCTAATTTCTGTTTCTCTGAAGATGCTTGTAATTTCTTTCCTTGAAACCCCTCTTCCCTGTAACAGAAGCAAATAAGACTTCCTGGTTATTCTTTAGTGAGTATTCAGCACTGTCTTTTGTGCTTCTTCAGGAGTGTGATTTGTGTCCCTTCCCCGCATGTAGATGTATGTAGCTCAGCAAGCATATGTATGCAGCCTATGTGTTAAACTGTCTTGTGACCTAAGGGCGTTCTCAAACAGAGGAGACTAAATTTTCCTTTTTGCTCCCACCTTACCCCACTACTCTACAAAAAAAAAAAAAAAAAAAAAAAAAAAAGATGGAAAAAGAAAATGATAAAAAAGACTGAGAACTCATTGTGTATTTTTCAGCTTTAAACAGTGAACATTGTCAGTTGAGCAATAAGCTATGACAAGCATACGGAAATAATCTTTTTGTTGTGACTGGATAACATTTAGATTACTATTTATTAACATTTAATGATGGGCATGTGACTCTGTCACATAGTTATTTGAGGCAATGATTCATTAGGGAAATAGTGCACTTTTACTAATCCAAACAAACATTTGGCATTTGGCTAGAAAGGAAAAGGTGGGGAGACCATGAATCTATCTGCAGTCCAGAAACTCAGCCAAGTCTGTCTCTTCTCTGGGAGGGAATACCAATAACCCCTGTATTTGGGGGGCAAAAATCTAGCTGACAGAAGTGCTTACCTATGATAGATGTATTATGAATTAACACAAAGAAAATTCTGGAAAACTTGGGCTATGAAGAAATATCTTAAGGCCTCTACAGTGAAAATTATCCCTAGGGTAGCAGAGGTTTCAAGAATTAAATAAGCTCTAAGAAGGAAAGAAGGATGCTAAGAGGTTTATGCAGGGCAGCTAAAGACTCTACTTCTTTCCCAAGGAAGAGCTGCCCTGGCATTAGGCTGGGGAGAAGGCTGATTTAGTATAATTGTATTTAAATGTATATTCCTTTTATAGGAGATAACACTTTCGTATGATGAAAAAACTTCACGTTATACAGAAGGAAATGTATTTATGTAGTGAAAAATAAGTTTACATCTCTGTCTCCCAGTCACCATTCCCAGAAGCAAACATTATATATTGGCCCGGAGAAATAGTTACATTACATTGTACTGCACTGTGGTCTTTTATTTAACAATGTATCTGACCCTCCATCACTATTAATACATATAAATCTGCCTCTTAAAAAACAGCTGTCGGGCATTCCACTGGATATACCATAGTATATCTAACTATCCGGGTACCGATCACCCAGCCTTTTGTTCTTATAATCAATAGGACATTTAATATCCTTGTATGCAGTTCTTTGGGTATATGGATGTTATATCTGTAGGATAAATTCCTATAAATAGAATGAAATAGAGTGAAAGGGTATATGCATTTCAACTGGCAAGACATTGCCCACTTTCCTCTAAAGACAGATAATCTTCAGTATTGAAAAAATGTACCTTTTTTCCATTCAAGGAATTATTCAAACTTCTTTACTTTGTTTTCTCTTCCAGTCTGACAGATAAAATAGTATATTGTTGCTTAATTTGCATTACTAATTGTGAATGAAATTGGATCTTATTTCCTTTATTTAAATCCATTTTCTTTTGGGGTGCCTGAATGGCTCATTTGGTTAAGTGTCTGACTTGGGCTCAGGTCATGATCTCACAGTTCGTGAGTTTGAGCCCCACATCAGGCTTTGAGCTGACAGTGCGGAGCCTGCTTGGGATTCTCTCTCTCTCTCTCTCTCTTTCTCTCTGTCTCTTTTCTCTCTCTCTCTGCTCCTCCCCCACTTGTGTGAGCTCTAGAACTTTTAAAGGCTGCAGGAATAGCTTAAGAGGTTAATATTTCAGAAAGGTAGCATAGGATAGTGAATAGAGCACTGGATTTAGAATAAGATGAATAAGGTTTTAGGTCTTAGCTTTACCTCAGACATATCATTACACCACTCTGATTCTCACCTATCATAAAGACAGAAAATAATATCTGTGTCACAGGACTATTGTCAGAATACAATAAGAATGGTTATAAATAAGCATTAATTGTAAAGTCTGTGTGAAGTATAAGGTTTTATGTAAACTGTATGTACATTTTTCAAACAGGATTTATGTAAACAAAGTTCATACCTCTTCAACTGCTCTTTTGAAGTTTCAGATTTCTATGAGTTAACTGGTGATGATTACAAAAGGTAAAATCAAATTATGTGAAGAAAGAAATGAACTCATTTAAAAATGTTTAATCTCAGGAAGAGGCAAATAACATGTGTAGGAAGAAAATACATAAGCAAGTCTGGTATGTGAAAGCAATAGGAATTCATATCAACTAAGCATATGGACCCTGGATACCTGAGAAGTAATAGGAAATAAATAACCAAGTGACATAAATCTAATTATAGGTAATATTGGTGACATACTTTTGGTTGTGTTTTCTTTGTTTGGGGGGGGTTCTGGGTAGTAGATTTTATTATTATTTTTTCAATCCATTTTTAGGGAAAGAGTGAGCATGAATGGGGGAGAGGAGGAGCTCAGAGAGAGAAAGAGAAAGAGAATCTAAAGCAGGTTCCACACTCAATACAGAGCCCAATTCAGGGCTTGATCTCACAAACCTGGGATCATAACCTGAGCCAGAATCAAGAGTCAGATGCTCAATGGACTGAGTCACCCAGGTGCCCCTAAGTAGTATACTTTAGAAAAAACAGAGGAGCCCATGAGTGGCTCAGTCAGTTAAGCATCCAACTTCAGCTTAGGTCATAATCTCATGGTTTGTGAGTTTGAGACCTGTGTCAGGCTCTGTACTGACAGCTCAGAGCCTGGAGCCTGCTTCAGATTCTTTGTCTCCCTCTCTCCCTGCCCCTCCCCTGCTCAAGCTCTGTCTCTCTGACTCTCAAAAATAAATAGACATTAGAAAAAATAGTTATTAATACACAAAATAGGAGGGGAGTAAAAAGCTTAAAAGACTTAATACTCACTTATCAGTGTGGTCGAATGCTAGGTATTCCTCTATTATTCCTTCAGAGAAGATTACACAGTCTTCCTCTTCTCTTTCTATAGAATACACACTAGGAGATTTGGCAATTGAAGGTGCTTTATGAGCATAAGAAGATGAAGAAAAATGTAACTTCTTTCCCCTAATACCAAATCTGGGACAGGAAAAAGCAAATATTAGTTATAAATAAACAGTTCTTACAGCAATTCAGTCATACAAGATTTCAGCTCAAAATCCCTTGCCCTGCTGACACCTCCCCAGACTATTCTTAGACTTAATGCCTATTGTTCTCAGAACAGGAAGATAAACACTAGCCATCGACCTACTCTGCCTAGGTGTACCATGTAGTATCAAATACTATTTGCTATCTTTTCAGATGTAACAGCTAAGGCTATAAGTTTAAAAAAAATTAAGAATAACCAGTGAGAATGGATAGTATCAAAAAGACAAGAAATAACAAGTGTTGGCAAGGATATGGAGAAAAGGGAACCTTCATGCACTGTTGGTGGGAATGTAAACTGGTGCAGCCACTATCGTTACTCAAAAAAATTAAAAATAGACATACATACGACCCGGTAATTCCACCACTGAATATTTACCTGTAGAAAATGAAAACACTAATTTGAAAAGATATATGCACTCCTGTGTTTATTGCAGCATTATTTATACAATAGCCGATATGAAAGCAACCTAAGTGTCCACAGATAGATTCATGGATAAAGATGTGGTATGTATATATAATGGAGTATTACTCAGCCATGAAGAAGATTGAAACTTGCCATTTGCTACAACATGGATGGACATAGAGCATATAATGCTAAGTGAAATAAGTCAGACAGGAAAAGACAAATACCATATGATTTCCCTGAAACATGGAATCTAAAAACCACAACAAATGAACAAACAAAACAAAACAGAAACAGATTCATAAATATAGAGGACAAACTGGTGGTTGCCAGAGGGAATAGGGATTGGAAAGTGGATAAAATAGGTGAAGGGTATTAAGAGGTACAGATTGACAGTTATAAAATAAATAAGTCATGGGGATTAAAAGTATGGCATAGGGAACAGTCAATAATATTGTAATAACTTTGGTGCCAGATGGTAACCATACCTATTGTGGTAAGCATCTTGCAATTTATATAACTGATGAACCACTGTGTTGTACACCTAATACTAATATTTTATAATCAAGTCTCCTTCAATAAAAAAACTTTTGAAAAATTAGCAATCTTAATAATTACAACTTTCAGGTACCTCAGGAGATTATATGCTTATTTCAGGAACTCCATCATAGTTCAAAATGCATACTCCTAAAGAGCAGGGATCTGCTCATATTTATATTTAAATTTCTCTTCCTTCCTGGGTATTCAATGAATATATGATGACTCATTCAATTCAGAATCTTTACTTCGGAGAAAACCAGTCAAATCTGAGCTGTAGTACAGTTTTTTTTTAATGGCTCTGTTTAAACCAAATATTAAATATAACCAATGTATATTTTGTGATATTCTTTATACTTTTTTGTACCTTAAGCATTTTTTAATGAAAAAAAAGAAAAAGAATAAACCTGTGGCATTTTTCAGCAAGGCTAGTGGGAAAAGCTGACTTGAAGACATTTTGGAAATATGTATTAGAAGCCTTAAAACAGGGGCCCCTGGGTGGTTTAGTCGGTTAAGCGTCTGACTTTGGCTCAGGTCATGATCTCGTGGTTAGTGGGTTCGAGCCCTGCATCGGGCTCTGTGCTGACAGCCAGCTCAGAGCCTGGAGCCTGTTTCAGATTCTGTGTCTCCCTCTCTCTCTGACCCTCCCCTGCTCATGCTGTCTCTCTCTCTCTCAGAAATAAATAAAACGTTAAAAAAAATTTAAAAAAAGAAGCCATAAAACAAACATACCTGTTGATTCAGTGATTTTATTTGTAGGGGTTTCTTTCAAGGATATGACCTACATGATTCAGCCATAAAAATTATCATCACAGAATTGTTTATAATTGCCAAAAATGAAAACTAGCCCAACTGTTTCAAAATACACAGTTGGGGACTGGTTGTTTAAATAAAAGTATATTCTTGCAATAGAATATTATAAGGTCATTAATGTGTGAGAAAATTAAGATTTCCACAATGAGACAGTAAGTATAAAAATATTAAAAATATGTATAGTATTTTCATAAAACTGTATACATATGTGGCAGAGAATGCCAAATGCCCCCCAGCATCTATTCTCCCCTTTACTAGTAAGTCATGCCAATTTAATTCAGGAGAGCAATACATTTCCCACGGCCTTGTAGCCAAATGTAACCAATGAGATATGAACAGAATTTTTTAAATATTTTATTTATGTATTTTTGTAAATTTTTTTAAATTTGTATTGAAGTTAGTTAGCAAATAGTGCAACAATGATTTCAGGAGTAGATTCCTTAATGCCCCTTACCCATTTAGCCCATCCCCCCTCCCACAATCCCTCCAGCAACCCTCTTTTTGTTCTCTATATTTAAAAGTCTCTTCTGTTTTGTACCCCTCCCTGTTTTTATATTATTTTTGCTTCCCTTTCCTTATGTTCATCTGTTTTGTATCTTAAAGTCCTCACATGAGTGAAGTCATGTGATATTTGTCTTTGACTCACTAATTTCGCTCTGCATAATACCCTCTAGTTCCATCCACATAGCTGCAAATGGTAAGATTCCATTCTTTCTGATTACCGAGTAATACTCATCGTATATATATACCACATCTTTTTTAACCATTCATCCATCGATGGACATTTGGGCTCTTTCCATACTTTGGCTAGTGTCCATATCGCTCCTATAAACATTAGGGTGAATGTGCCCCTTTGAAACAGCACACCCGTATCCCTTGGATAAACAACTAGTAGTGCAATTGCTGGGTCGTAAGGTAGTTTTATTTTTAATTTTTTGAGGATCTCCCATACTGTTTTCCAGAGTGGCTGCACCAGTTTGCATTCCCACCAGCCGTGCAAAAGAGATCCTTTCTCTGCATCCTCGCCAACATCTGTTGTTGCCTGAGTTGTTAACGTTAGCCATTCTCACAGGTGTGAGGTAGTATCTCATTTTGGTTTTGATTTGTATTTCCCTGATGATGAGTGATGTTGAGCATTTTTTCATGTTTCGGTTGGCCATCTGGATGTCTTCTCTGGAGAAGTGTCTATTCATGTCTTCTGCCCATTTCTTCACTGGATTGTTTTTTTTGGCTATTGAGTTTGATAAGTTCTTTATAGATTTTGGATACTAACCCTTTATTTGATATGTCATGTGCAAATATATTCTCCCATTCCATCAGTTGCCTTTTAGTTTTGCTGATTATTTCCTTTGCTGTGCAGAAGCCTTTTATTTTGATGAGGTCCTAATAGTTCATTTTTGCTTTTGTTTCCCTTGCCTCCAGAGACATGTTGAGTAAGAAGTTGCTGCAGCCAAGGTCAAAGAGGTTTTTGCCTGCTTTCTCCTGTAGGATTTTGATGGCTTCCTATCTTACATTCAGGTCTTTCATCCATTTTGAGTTTATTTTTGTGTATAGTGTAAAAAAGTGGTCCGGGTTCATTTTTCTGCATGTGGCTGTCCAGTTTTCCCAGCACCACTTGCTGAAGAGACTGTCTTTATTCCATTGGATATTCTTTCCAGCTTTGTCAAAGATTAGTTGGCCGTACGTTTGTGGGTCCATTTCTGGGTTCTCTATTCTGTTCCATTGATTTGAGTGTCTGTTTTTATGCCAGTAGCATACTGTCTGGATGATTACAGCTCTGTAATATAGCTTGAAGTCTGGGACTGTGAAGCCTCCAGCTTTGGTTTTCTTTCTCAAAATTGTTTTGGCTATTCAGGGTCTTTTCTGTTTCCACACAAATTTTAGGATTTTTTTTCTAGTTCTGTGAAGAATGCTGGTGTTATTTTCATAGGGATTGTGAGATATGAGCAGGACTCTGAGAAGGTTGTTTAAAGGGAAATGACTTGGCTGTAAGGGGTGCCCTTTTGCCCTTCTGCCTTTCCTTTCTGCCACCTGGAAAGTGAATGTCATGTTTGGAACTCTATCAGCCATCCTGGATCACGAAGACAACTTATGGAAAAACATCCTGGGTTAATATGGTATAACAAAAAGATGAAAAGAGTCTAAAGCCCTGAAAACACCATGCCACTACCATACAATCTTTAGATACTGTCCCCTGAGCCTTCTTTTAAAACAGAAACAAACTGTTAAGTAAGCCATTAAATAAAGTGTAGAGTTCATAGGAAGTGGTTGGAAAGATAGGTAGCCAGACTTGGGCTAACTGATAGCAATAAAAACTATAAAGTTTTTAAGAAGGTGAATGACAAGATCTTTGCTGTGGTGGTAATGAGGAAGATAATGTGGTTTGGAAGCTAGTGCGAAAGATAAAACAAGAGCAAGTGAGCTGATGAGAGTCTCGACCATGGCAGGATGCATGCACCCTGTATTTGAGGATGGAGAGATAGTAAGAGATTAGAAACAGTTTGGAAAACCAACACATCTAGACCGCTGGTATTACTGTTTATGAAAGTATCAAATTTGAGACATAAGGTCTTTTAAATCACTGTTCTGAAATTCTAAACAGTGATTTCGAAATCTAGTCAAAGATTTATGCCAATCCATGACAACATTTTAACTGATCTACACCAAAAGGAAGAAAATAAGGACAGTGCCCAGGAAGACTGCCAAATCTCCTTTTCTTGAAAAGGACTGTCCTTATTTTGAGATCACGCACTTCATGCTTTTTCTTTTATAAAATAGTGATGTTAGTTGTTATTTTATGTTTTTTTAACATAATATGACAAAATTAAAAGCTGCCAAACCCATGTCAAACACTGGATACCCACGATTCTGTATGTTATTATGCTGTTGTGTCATTCCATTTGTATTAGTAGCCAAACAGTTTTTTAATCAGTGGTGACTAACTGAATTTTTATAAATTTTGTTCTTTTTAAGTAAACTCTGTACCCAACATGGGGCCCCCCCAGGATCTATACCCAACATGGGCCCCCCCCCCAGTTGTATGCTCTACTAACTGAGCCAGTCAGTCCCTGAAGATTTTATTATTTTTTAAAGTAAACTCTCCACTCGGCATGGGGCTCAAAGTTACAACCCCAAGATCAAGAGTTGAATGCTCTATCGACCTAGCCAGGCACTCCTC